AGATGTGTATAAGAGACAACGGTAAAGCAATGCGGATTGCGGAAGTTGAAAATTTTATGAAATGACATGTTTGCAAAGTGCAAACCACGATTTTTTAATCAAACAAAAATTTATGACATTCGAGCCGCGAGATTTCATACCTACTGAAATTATATGATGTAAGAGCCGCGATATTTCAGACAAAAATAGGACTTTTCCAGACTAGCTTTTGAATAACCTATAGAATTGCACCATGATTATTTTCAACCATCAACAAACGCATGGAACTAAAACAAAGCTTAATATAAAGGAAAAGCTGGAGACTGGAGAGGTGACGGAATTACCTACGATGTCGGAATATACCGCGCTTACCCTAGCTTTTCTCATAACATAAGTTTTGTTTCAAGTCATTTGAGGTTTGCCACTGTGCAGAGAGTGAACGAAGATTTAAAGACCTACGGCGACGCATTATCGGCAAAATTTCCGCCTTCAGAAGATCTTGCCGACACATTTAGATTGAAATTCTTGCATTTAATATATTTCTCAGTCTTCAGCCAACTATTTAGAAAAAAAGTAAGGTTTCCGGTACGTTGGATGGATTACGATGCAGCGAAGCTTGTCCGGAAATCAGTTGCGATGAGTTCCTGCAAAAAATGTAAACAACATTTTTTCGATTGCGTAGTTTTGGTCGCATTAGAGTGGTCAGACTGCTTTATTACTTGTTCAGTTGACACTTGCTGTACAACCGGACTGTTTTTAGGGTAAAATTAGTTATTTGGGGTAACACGTGCATGCAACCTTGTAATAAGTTCGTGGCTTGTAAATAGTTCGTCATTACTCAGCGTAAATGGCTTTTCATTAAAAATTACCCGGCGACGCATCTTTAAAATGGCCGGCGACGCTTTGGGTTTAAAAATCCATATATTGCCGACGCTGCATCCACCCTCTGCATAGTGGGAGGTTTGTTTGGCTATTAATGTTCAGTTTATGTTTAGTATTGGTTTATTGGTCTGAATAAAATGGGAACAGTGCAGTCAGAGTCAGTCACTAGGTTCAATTAGGCTAAATGAAAATAAATTAAGATTTTAATACAGATAAACAAAAATAAAATAAATAAATACCTACTAATAAATAAATGAGAAAAAAATATTCTGCAAAACAGACTGGCTAACCTCTGGGGGAGAAAGCCAGTCATGTTTATGGAGAATCAAACTTGAAAAATAATTATTTTAAGTAAGTGCAAAATGCAAATGCTACATAATCCTTCAAAAATAAATTCACCTGTTTTTAGACTTAGAGAGCTCAAATGACACACGTGCTTTTGCCGAGAATACAACTGACTTTCTCCGTACCACCGTACGGTAGTTTTTTTTATAATTGGGGTTAAGACTTGTAGCGACAAAAGCGCCCACCAGCCTGATCTCTGTCAGAAAAAGAAAGCAAAGCAGCAGACTCGGAGCTCTGCTATACTAGGTTGCTGCCGGTACTGACTAAAACCCGGACCCGGACCAGTCCGCCGGACCCGGACCGAGTGACTAAAACCCAGACCCGGACAGGTCCGGCGGACCAGGTTCAAAAAAATAAAAGGCTGCAAATCATCTGAAACGTCGAGAAAACTTTTAATTTCACATATAAAATTTTTATATTTACTTTCATGTCGATGCAGGAGCGTTGATGTCCTCGTGGGAGTGCAGAGATGCCGAGACCAGCGTTTGTCGCAGGTGAGCTCCTGAGATCCTCGTGACCGCAGCCGCGACTGTGGCGGCCCCCGGGCTGGACGCTCCTTATATACCCCCGCTTCTGGACAAAAGTTACCGGGTTACGAGCCTGCCCACTCTCGATGCAGCAGAAAAGACGAAATTTACGTACCGCATTCTTATTTAATAATAAAGACAAGGTTAAACGCCCAGCACTATTTTTACGCCTTTTTACTGGCAGTGTAGTTGAAGGTGGCAAATAGTTTGCAACCGACTTTAATGTTGGAAGATTGTAACAAACTTGTTTAGTGCATTTCCAGACAATGTTTATTGGTATTGAGAAGTGGTTCTCGGACTTTTCGGGCCTTTCCCTAACTGGATTTTTGCACCTCAAACATGCTGATGTTTTTTCAATGTTAATTGTAATTAATTTTATTTGACTATTTTACTTATTTAATTCAATTTTTATTTAAAAACTGTTGATGTGTTAATACTGCACTACTAAGTAAAATTTCTGGTTAAATACTTCTAAGAGACCCCAATCATGAAATCAATTTTGTAGAAATGCGAAATAGCATAAAGAGAAGATTTTGCCAGCTTGCTTTGGTCCTGTAAAATCTATTAAAGGAACTCAATGAGTGAGCGGTGAGCTTAAGAATCTAGGTGGTCTCGAATGTCATCTTAATAAATTTCTTCTCTTCAACAAGGAAAAACATCAGCATATTCTGCGAATTGAATACAAATAGGATAAATTCAATACCCGGAATCCAGAATATTATTGCAGAGTAGTTACGTTTGAACGTCGCTTCAAGATTGAGTCGTGACTTCAATAGCTGCCTTGTGCCACTATCGGCATCAGTAAACAAGCAGAAAACATCAGAAAGAACAAATTAAGAACTCCCACAAGACACCGAACGTGACATTAGCAAAAGCAAAATATCGCAGCGTCTAACCGGGCAGTCATTGGGGAGAACGTTCCCGCCATGTTGACGCTTACGCTTAGAACACAGGATCGCTACGCTTGCTGATGCACCAGCTAGATTCTGCCATTATCCATACTGTCATTGAAGAAAAGTATTTAGTTTAGGCATGAAATTGTAACCTGTTTAATGATTGTCGAAACCTTTGCAGCCTCACCTCTCAAGACCCCTGATGTAAGGAAGGCTATGCATACTGTATATACATTTGTAACTAAGACGATATAATAAGTATACAGTGTACGGGGATTTGGAAATATATTTTATCATATATTTCATGACATTTCGACATCGCAATAAAGTCAAGGGTATGAATTATTCCCAAATTATGAATATATTTTGAGTTACATATACACGCTTCAAAATTCTAAACTATTCTCAGCAAAAAACTCATCAGCCTAGCAGCATTCCATCCGTCGTATTGTAGTCCTTGCTCGTGCACTAGCTGGCGCCGGTCAAACCTCGAGCCTGGTTGAAGGAACGCATGGGATCCATATCCAAATTGCTGTGTAACATTATATTGCATACTTCCGTTAAGTTGATGTGAGGTGAACACATGCAATTACTCATCTTCTGGAAGTGCAATTAGGAATATATTTTGTTCATGAAAGCCACGGTGTTGTATATAAATTAATTGACTTGTCGAAGTTATTATATATTTCGCCAGCAAAATATTGCGCAAAGACTTGTACGCTGGTTTGAAAGCTGTTTTTTTTTCACTTCCTTTCACAAGCTTCTGAACAAAAGTAAAAGAAGAATAATTAGCACACACAAAATAATCGTATATAACCTCACGTTGAACATTTTTGAGACTTGTTGCTTCTCCATTGCTATTGAATGTTACATCAACATTTATACGGTGTAAAATAAAACCATGAACCGAGGCTGCTTGCCGGGTTCTGCTCACGGTTCCCTCCAATATGTCGCCGATGCAAGACAACGGATAAGATGTTTGGACGTCTAAAATTTATAATATATTTAGTCCCTTAAATGCACCAATTTATCTATCCTGACATCAATATTCGGTAATGCATCAGTATAAAGCAATCTGAACTTGAACAGCCCGTGTCTAAACGCAGAATTATTATCCTTCGCGTATAATTGCATACAACGAATGTATGCATGGGTGTACATATATAGAGCGGCCTGTATTATGCTCCGTATAGCATTGTAGCAATGAGTCCTATACGACGTACGGCAGACTCAAGAACATGCTTGTGTAAAGTTCGCCAGAATAACAAGTTGAGGCATCTGCCTCATCTTAAGATAATTTGAAACATGAATAGGTGCAAGGTTAAATTTGATTAAATTATCAATTAACTGCCCTGCGCTAAGAAGCTTTGCAAATGTCTGATCAGGCATTACAAATTCAGTACCAAATTATACCTCACGTTTATCGTGAGATTTCCACAAACAATACAAACTTTACATAGAACCGCCACATCTTGGCAACGGATCATGTTATTGGGCAGGTCAAAAAGGCTAAGGTTCGCATCATTTTTAGCAGCATTCAAGGTGCGGCGGTTGCGCCTCAGATGGAAACGCAAGGATAACGACTGAAAAATATGTCGTTTGCCTTGAATCGTCCTACGTTCTCAGCAGGTTATAGTAACTTGAGTTCATGTGAATGCTATATACCAAAAATAAACATAAAATCGACAAATTGTGCGTAAAAATTTCTGCGCTGCATATGAAATTATAACTCTTCATTTTTTTCAAGTTGACTAAGGATAAAATTTGATTTTGTTTCGGTGTCTCACCGGAAAATTGGTTCCAAAGCTTTAATGTTATTAATTAATAACATCAACGTTAATCAAATTAATAAAGTTTAATTTTGTTTGGCTGGAACGATATGATGGCGCCTTCCCTTGCAACTTGATTATAAAGAAAAATATAATTCGTTCTATATTTTCACATAACTTCAATAATCGTAATAATTTCTAGCTAATTTATTTATTACATAATATTTGCAGTCTATCAGCTGTTAAATAAGGTTAACATCTCCGAGGAGTGAAACGCCTTCAACTTAATGATGCAATCTTGCTAGAAATTCCGATTAATCCACTTTAGGTTCGGTTTCTATGAGCTCGTAATGACAAATTTAATTGCAAAGCAGTGCATATTTCAAACTATCTCCTTAATTTGGATCGCATTCGTGATGCAAGTTGTCGTGCGATAGCTACAGCGTCACATAAAGCGTAAAAAATATCCATCAATTTTTCTTTTATTTAACTACTCACGTAGCAGATGTATAGTAGCTCTATCTGTGGTGTACAAAACTTTTGCGTGACCTCCCTTTTCAGCGGAAGGAAAGATTGAATTAAATTTGCATTGAATAATGTAAAGAAAGCCCTTCACTTAAACTGAATTTATTGAATTGAATTTGTGTCGAGTAAACACAAAAAAAAAATGGAATAAAGACGATAGGCGCGAGCTGTTGCCCGGTGGAAGTCCTCTGAATCGGGAGCAGGAGCTTCACCTGGCTAGTGTAAACCAGCCATGTAGCACAGGGAAACTGACACGCTAAGCTCCGTGCAGCCCATCCTGTCAAAATAAATGCCAACTGATTTTAATGATACGAAAGCCAAAAGAGAAAATTGGAACAAGCTGAATATTAGGGCTGTAAATATTAAATGCTTAAATTTACGAACCTAGCAGCTATGCTCTTGAAATTTAAATGGTAATCTTGGAATAAGAGATTTATAGAACAAATTTGGCTTTCTAAGGTATATAATATATATTCAGTTGGAAGACAAGACGGGTTTTATGATTTGGGTTGAGAGTAGTGAAGGGGAAACGGTTATCCATAATGGAAACCGGCCGGGGCTACAAGTTGCCACAACACCCTGAGCTTTAGTGACGGACAACCAACCTGCAGCATCCGGTCCTCTCCTCAGCTCTCGCAGAGTCTCGTCCTCCGTAAGAAGACGAGCTGATGCCGCAGTCTCCAGGTCGTCCCAAAACCTCGAGGCCGCCACCTCAGACGAGACGCACGCTGGAGGTCTCACTCCTTCACGTAGACAGGGAGGACAATGGGCAAAGGTGTGGCGTAGCTGACAGTCGTAAGAATTCTTTCTGCTGGGCTGTTTCTGAATCCGACTAGAGGTATGAGTTTAGCTTCTATCTTCAAAGGTGGATTTGAAGAAATGCGGAAGGCCGCCCACACCACAACAAGAAATGTTGGGAAACTGTAGCCAGCCAAATAAACTTACCACTAACTCAGACCCAAACAATAAACTTCCAACTAGAAATATCTTAGTCAAGATAATTTTATACATGTGGTAACTATCTTCCATGAGTACAAATTAGATACAAACATCGCTTCTAAACGTTCACCTTAGATTATTTAATAGGATTTTATCACTTCATTGTCATTGTAAAACATGTTAACTACGAGACAATAATATCATACAGCTACATCTATGTTTCGCCCGTGAGTCTTGATTGATCGATTGAATGAATGGATTGAAATGCGTTAAAAATACCGCGGCATTCGCGAAGACGTTTTCTCAATTGCAGCACCAGAAAGAGAACTAGAGAGACTTCCAATTAAGCTTATGCATGCCTCATTCGAAGTCAGTAATTGTTTTATTGAGTTGAAATAAAAAAATTGTTAGGAATAAGCCTGCTGACAGTAAGCTATTGTCATATTTAACTTTAGTCATATTTCAAAGCATGTATATGATAATGCGAAATTTCATGTCATTGTGTTAACAATCTTACAGCATATACATACTATGATAACATTTCGATTTGAAATGGTATCCAACGACCGTGTTGATTTCAGCACAACATTTACTATTTTATATACGTACTGTACGTAGTTCATATCACGAAATCAAAACTAAAGCTCACTTTTAGTCCTCTGGTTTTTATGCAGTAACGAGTAACTACTTTTTCCCTGCCATGAAGATGCCGTTTACCCATGACATGAAGATGCGAAGTGCACCGGTCATTTGACATGCTCAATCAATAAATTTTACATTGTCAAAGATCGTGTCCTTAATTATTGTCGGGAATGTAAAAAATATACTGCCCTTAATTATTGTCGCTTTATCGGTTACTGCATCTTCAATATATATGTCCTCTTTTCATAATTTAAATCATCTAAATCTTAATAATTATTTGGAGAAGAAGTAGAATTGAAGGTAAGAAATCTTATTTGTCTGCAACTTAGCAGCAAAATTATTAATGAGATACAAACTATACTAACATCATTAAAATATTAAAATAACTTTTTATCCAGAATAACCCAGTAGAATCAACATTACTAAATCCTATTGGCCCTCTCCTGAACTCAGATCGGTTCTTATTTAGCCGCTGGCCGGTTAAATGTTGCACTTCACAAAAAAGGACTCTGCACAAAAGGACTCTGCACTTCTTCACCTCATGCCGAGGTGAGATTCGCGTACGGACACGCACTGAGGGAGGTTTGCTTTGCTGAGGGAGGTGAGCCCTGCTGCATGAGGGAGGTAAGCCCTGCTGAGGGAGGTGTGCTCTGCTGAGGGAGGTGTGCTCTGCTGAGGGAGGTGAGTTAAACCCTTCGCTATTTCTATCGAACTCAGTTCGTCGCTATATGTATTAAAGCCTAAGGCTACTGGAGTTATAACCGCCTGCATAGGTAAATTAGTTTGTGCTTTCCATGTAATGTGCATTAACTAAAACTCTCCACATTGACGCAATTCTAGGCGTTGACGTGCTAGGCGAAACTGCCACGGGAAACATACCTACGCTTACAAACGACGGGATTTACAACTACAAGCTGGCGGAGGCTCTACAACATGGATTTCGAAAATACCCGCGAACACCAAAATACACTTGAGCGACGATTTCGGGAAAGTACCACAGCGGACGAGTTTGAAATACGACACACTCCAAAGAATACTCTATTATACTCTTCTATAAGAAACATTCAACAGCCCAACTCTCCAGCATTGTTGCGACTTCAGCCTTCTTACGGACCTCGAGTCTCGGATTTGACTCCACCGAAGGTCGGAAGTCTGCACTAGCACCGCCGCATCAAGAACATCATCGAAGAGACGTTTCATCGTCACCAGCAGCAGTTCGGGCACCTTCATCATCAGCAGTAGTAGCACGACAAAAAGCTTGGAATAACACCACCACAGATTGGAGGCGACGCTACTCTTCCATATATATATATATATAGTACAGTAGTCATAAATTCTACCATTAGACCGGCAGTGAGACATGACGCTAAGCGCGGTGATAACGGCGATGGCGCGAAGCAAGTGACGACAACGTCGACCAGCCCTCAGTGTCCGGTGCCTCCGTCCTAAACCTCGGTGATGTGCCAGTTGGAAAGACTTATGTTAGGCAGTTCCTTTGTTTTTGTAGGGGCCGGCAGCTTAGCATCTGATTATTATATCAGTGTTATTTCGTGCTTATGACGATTAATCTTCTCAATTTCTGTACGTAGGTTTGCGTTTGATTATTATTTCAGAGTATTTATGTGCTATTGACGATAACTCTGCATAATCTCTATACTGAGGTCTGTGTCGGATTTTTATAATATAGGTCGTGTTAAATCTTTTCAGCTGTTATTATTCTTTCTTTTGTTAACTCGTGATTGCCAGATCGAAAAAAGACGTGCCATTACAACCACTACGGTCAAACCAGACAAATCTATAAAGTTGCTCTAAAGAGAAATATCGAATATAATAACATTAAATAACAAACAAACCCGAACCTTTAAACATAATCAAATCATAGTAACACATGAATAGAAAACCCGAGTAAAAAAATGCTACGTTATTAGAATTACAGGCACTGAAATAAATATTCCGATCACAATCAGAGTTCTATCCTTGCACATCATTCCTTATTTCCCAGAAATGTTTATCCGCGGTGCTATCCCGTATAGGGTGAATGATAAGACTGTCGTGAACGACCGTATGAATCGCGGTCGTACTGTTTCCAGTGGAAGTATCGAAGTTAGAATGGTATGATTGACTCGAAGTTTCGCACGGCCGTTATTTCTCAACTCACCGGCTGTCATCTATGTCTGCGGAGCTATCAACAGAACGTACTTGCATGATGGTTACAACAGAAGAAGAACCTTGTAGTGAGAATTTTGCATACATAGGCAGTGACCCGCATACTTGAAGCAATAGGGCAACATGGGGCAGCGCGCCCCCCCTTTTTTTAAACTAAATTTTTGATGAAGTTTTAATTGATACGAGGTGGTTCTTTGTTTTGTTTAAATGTGCAACTAATAAGGAATGTATGATGTGAATTAGGCGCCTATAGAGTTATTCAATTTTTAATGAAACACTATTTTGTAAAAAGTGTCAAAATGTGCCCATTGCCCCATCCCTGGGGCAATGGGCCCATGAGCTTAGGGCAAGGCGCCCACCCTTGGTCCCTTTACCGCATTTGCATAATTTTCGTTTAAAAATGATAAAACAACACTTTACAGTTAAAAATAAGAAAAAATGTATTAAAAATATGACTTTCATACATTTATTAACAACTCAAAAAATCATATCCTTAACATGAAAAAATATACCCTTGGCTTGAAAAAATCTATCATTGACGTGAAGAAAAATATTTCATTGACATAAAAATATATATCCTTGATTTGAAAAATATATCCTTGAGATAAAAAATTCGTCCTGACATGAAAAAATGTATTCTTGACTAGAAAAAATATATTTAGTTGATCAGAAAAAAAACTTCGTTCCAGTTTTGCCCATAATCCAAATATTATGTGCAGAGAATTCGTACCTAATCGTGATTTCAGCTAACACCATAAAAACTCATCAACTTTTGGCTAATTGGTGTTGACTGAAATCAACTTTTGGCAAGGCAAGAGTCAATAACTCGATAAGGGATCATAAATACGCACAACCAGAAACTAAACCTGCTGCCTTGAGGCGGCAAATCGAGAAATCAAGCAATATAAAATGTGATTGGTAATTCAAAAGCTAGTCATAGTTTTGAAAAGGTCATTGAGACAAATCTAATGATGTATAACACAAGACTTCCCCATGGGCGCTCTGCCCGTGACACGCGTGGGCCCGTTGCCCCCACTAGGTATCCTTTGATTTATATCGTGTCAACATTTTATTTTTAAAGCGAATAGTCTAAACTTGATCTCAAAATTATCCCTATAGATATTACTTTCAAAATATAATTCACAGTAATTTCAAAAGCTTCATCTACACTAATCGATAACAGTTTTATTTAGCAGCAAAAAAAACCTTTATCTGGGCTGAAAAAGTTATCCACAAATATCTTAATAACGCAAACACTTAGCAAAACGTAAATCCGTACACTTCACCTCAGAGAAACTGTCGACCGGCGGTAGAGAACACGGACCAATATCTGCAATACTTAGCGAGAAACCCGCTATGGGCCCATGACCCGCAGTGGGCTCGCTGCCCCATGTTACCCTACCTATTAGACGCCGCGCCCTGAGCGACACTTTCGAGTTTCCCCTTTGTCATGAAGCCCTCGGTCAGTAAAAGATATGAACATACTTGCTCGCTCGTTATTTTACCCCGTCTTGTAGTCGAGCCTCATTCTGTCTTTAATTGCTTAACGCCGCTCAGTCTCCTATCGACTTCTGTACTTAAGTTTTGTTCTGTACTATAATATAAGGAAATCGGAGCCATCTACACTTAATTCAAACAGGCATTGACAGCAACTTTAAGTTGTTCATTACCTTGCTACGATCCTCAAGTCTGTCCGGTTGTCATTCCAAGATATATCAGATGTGAGATCGTAACCGCTACATATCTGACTTATTTCACCTTAAAAATGATCATTATACGAATTCACGTGCCAGGGTGAGAAATCGAATCCATTCCAAGTAAGTTTAACAATAATCGTTTATTTGTTTTCATGAATAATGCTGCAAAAACCAATAACTTTTTAAGATAATTAAATCGAGTCCAAGCAATATTGGAAATTGCAAGTAATTTATACAGTCAATTAAGCCTCGCCTCATGTTCTTACGCCTAGTAAACGTCGTGAAAGATTTTAATGCCCGACATTGGAAAATGTGTCTTAGCATTCAATATAAGCAGATGCACTAAGAACCACTGAATAAGCTAGTGTACTTAGAACCGTTTATTAAGCAGATGTACTAAGAACCATTGAATTAGCTCATGTTCTAGGAACCATTTAATAAGCTGGTGTACTATGAACCATTGAATATGTTGATGTTCTAAGATCCATTTAATAAGCTGATGCGCAGATAAAGTGAGAGTATTGCACTCGTTATTTGCTATTCGAGACAATACTAGTGCATGACAGCGAGGTTCTACAGATGGTTAAAGATATAATAATTCTGGCGCATGCCTATTAGATATTATTTCACAAAATGCTAATTAAATAATTTTAACATGTATATAGTAAAAATGTTTCATAAATATACCGATGCATGTATTAGCTCCCTTACTGTTTACAAGGATTCTTTATTTACATCTATGAATTAGTGAAAAGGCTTAGCGGCTTCTGATACAACAGAGGATGCCTCGTTTGTTTTGGCTTGCGCAATACGCAACTCTGATGCACAAGTGATATTGAGATTTAAGGGATCAAGAACTGATTTGAGAACAAGGAGCAACGTTAAAAAATGAAGAAATTAAGTTAGCTGCCAATCCTAATTATATTAGCTTGAAATTAGCCTGATCCAGCAGATGTGAAAATTGTATACAGAATATATATAGGCATATACAGAGAATCCTATAGGTACGAACTTGGCTTGCAAAATTCCGTGGTCGGTGAATGCAATCACCCGTAATATCCGTAGCCATAGCCGTAGCCGCGTCTGATGACGGGCCTGTAGGTCCTACGGAAGCCGTAGCCGTAACCGTAATGGGGTTCAGGATCAGCGAAGGCCACAGGGTCGGGCAGGGCGACGGGTGAAGGGTCGGGGAAGGGCACGGCGCTGACCACGGCCAGCAGGACGACCCCCAGCAGCAGCACGGCGGCGAGCTGTAGGAGAGACGTTCAGGATCATGGTTGAATTAATTGAATTAATGTATTAATTCAACCATGGTTCATGATACTCCGCGCATTGCGGCATGAATTACGGTGCAAAATATACAGGCGATGAATGAGTGAAGCATTGTAAGACATGTATAAAAGTTGTGACACACAACATGGCGTTTGCAGGAAAACGTACCATGTAATTATTGGAAATTCGCATCCACAAATGAATTTTTAACAGCAATCTTAGCAAAACAGTTATGTCAAGGAAGAAATAAACTGAATTGGCATCGATGGAGATTTTAATTGCGAGTTAGGAAAGCGCTCGCGTAACTTGCATGTAAGTTTGACTTCCATCTCTACGTAATATGATGAGCGTTTCGGAAGATGAAATACTGAATGGCTCTGTGTATTAACTCATTTATTGCGAAATTATTAATACTAAATAAATTAGATTTTTTACATTAAAATAATTTATGCCATAATATTGTTGCAGCAGCTGTAGTATTGTTACAGCAGCAACAATACAACGTCCACTGCTGCAGTTCCCCCAGTAGTGGATGACTTGCCGCTGCCACCAGCGGTGATGCAGCTCCAGGTATCATTCAAGACTCCGGTATAAATTTATGCAAAACTTGTGTTCGCTTAAAAATTATAGATGCACACATTTTTTCTGAACAATTAAGCTCAACGGCGATGGCCGACTTATAAAACAGATGTTCAAAACGAGCGTTTGAAACAATAAGTGATTAAGAATCGAATTCCCGTAGTCAGTTCGGCAAAAGATTGATAGTACGTGCTGTACGTTTACGTTCGTATAGATGTATTCGTATCCACAGATTTATGCGTTTTCAAGTTCAATGGATGAAAGCTGATGCAAATTAACTTAGCGTAACGGGAACCCACCAGTTTCATGTCGATGCAGGAGCGTTGATGTCCTCGTGGGAGTGCAGAGATGCCGAGACCAGCGTTTGTCGCAGGTGAGCTCCTGAGATCCTCGTGACCCGTGACCGCAGCCGCGACTGTGGCGGCCCCCGGGCTGGACGCTACTTATATACCTCCGCTTCTGGACAAAAGTTTACCGGGTTACCAGCCTGCCCATTATAGAAACTTCCAAAGAAACGTACTGCTTTATGACGTAAAAAATTTTCCCTAAAGTCGAACGCGGAGATAAATATGAAGAGCATATATTTATAGCGATGTGGGTGGCAGGCCCTTCGTAGTTGAGTCCGGAAACTTTGTATGTTATTTACGTGAATGCAAGTTACCGGTTTGCCGAGAACGCGGCCGGTGCTGCGCCGAACGTTCTTGACTCGTGCAAAGTTTCCTTGTTTTTTGTGCTGCCGAGGCCTGTGTAGCGGCCGGAAGAACTCTTCTCGGTTGTCTAATAAACGCATTACGAGTAATGCATAATTTATTGCTGCATAATATTACTTTGCAATTGCCGTCGAAATGCAATGAATATATTGATAGAAATCTCATGATCAATGTTGAAATAAAAGTCAATTGTAATGAGAAATTACTTACTTGCAACTTTTTGGAGCAAATTATCTGTTAATATAATGTACAAAACTTTCTGTTAATTGTAAGCAATGACGGGCGATGAAAATCGGCGCCACGAACAGTGGAAATCTTCCTTCAATTTACCGCGGCAGTTGTAATGCGCACCGACACTCTTGCGGTCGCTCCGTGCAGGATCTCGTGATTGCGATACAGTTGGTAGCTCTGTGCAAAGATGTAGCTTTGGGATACAGTTGGTAACATGAACATGAATATAAAAACGTGAATGTAAAAAGTGAATTTGTTTTAATATTTGTTTTTATCTGATTGGTTCACCAGGTATTTCAAAATTACTTTCTTTTAGGATATTTTACCGATCAAAAATAAATTAAAACTAATAAATTCAATTGTAGCGTGAAAACCTTTTTCCGCGAAAGACAGCTGATGCCATAGGCTATGATGTTAACAAGAGCTGTCATGAATCTCTCTGAACGAAATGAGGTGATGTTAATCCTTATTGTTTTACAAACGATATTTATATTTGTGATGTTATGTAGTTCACTTGAACGCGACAGACGCAGTTCGTCAAATGGCCCACTGACTTCGGTCGGCCGCTGGTCAATGGCAGTGTTGTTTTTGTCCATGCGCTAGTTGCTTTTGGACTTTTGGTCAGTGAAGCGACTGAGGTACATGAGAGATCACTTGATCGAGGGCAGATAGCGACTCAAGAGAGGGTAGATGCCAGCTCAATTGAGGAATGAGGGCGGATAACGACATATGTAAGGGAAGAAATAAGGTTGTACGGCATGACATCTTTAGCCGCTCACGAGATACGTGGGTCAAGAAGAATTTGATTGAGTTACCGCAAGAATATTTTCTTCGGTCAAAACGTGGTTAGAATTTTTTTTGCTTTGTATTTTACCAGGTAAATAGTTGAAGCTCAGGCTCTTTGCATTTAATAAATGTTTATTCATTTAAAACATACAACATTTACTCACTTGATGCGCTTTTTAGTAAAGTTCAATCCTGTATTTGATGACGTCAGCCATGTTGGGATCTGTCCAGCATTGGGGATCATAATATATTGCGAAATTCACTGCTTAACATGAACCGTACCTCGCTCGCTCTGTCAATTGTGGACTTACTCATTGTGCTCATATAGTACGACTGCACCAGTAATTGAGAACCTCGTAACTGTAATTGTCCAAAGAGGGGCGCAAAGAACAAAACACAAATAACATATTTTATTCGAGATAAGTACTTAGCGTTTAGCGTCCTATTTATAAACGATGCGGAAAGAAATTCTGACAGCGCCTGCAGGAACCTTATGTCGATAAATAGCTTCGTTGTAATTCGGCGGTTTCGATTCCACATGTTATTCGTAGAATATAAAGAATGGCTATAGATATGCGTGCGAGGTGTCACCGGTAATGCGCAGGTTGGCAAGAGGTTTTTAAATTACTCGTTGGGCTGTGAGGGACGAGACCGGTTTGGTGTCTATTTTTCAATACCATTTATTATGTTTCACAGAATGCCTGTCCATTCAAGAACTTATTCATCGTTGCTGATATTTTATCTGATAAAACATCCAATGACAATAAATCGTTAATGTGTGGACACATTTTTTGTTCGATGTTTTGTTTTTGCATTTTTTTGTTTTTTTCACTGGAAAACAACTTAATCCATTTCCAGCCAAAGACATGTCATGTATCAAAACTTTTATTCATGTCTTACAATGCTTCACTCATTCATCACCTGCAAATACTCCACCGTAATTCATAGCGCACTGCACGGAGTGTCCTGAACCATGGTTGAATTAATACATTAATGTAATACATTAATGTAATTAATACATTAATTCAATTAATTCAACCATGATCCTGAACGTCTCGTGTGTACGTACAGCTCGCCGCCGTGCTGCTGCTGGGGGTCGTCCTGCTGGCCCTGGTCAGCGCCGTGCCCTTCCCCGACCCTTCACCCGTCGCCCTGCCCGACCCTGCAGCCTTCGCTGATCCTGAACCCCATTACGGTTACGGCTACGGCTTCCGTAGGTTCTACAGGCCCATCATCAGACGCGGCTACGGCTATGGCTACGGATATTACGGTTGAGTGCATTCACCGACCACGAATCAAACAAGTAAAGCTCATATCTGCTGGATTTATCTAGTTTTGAGCTGATTCAATAAGATTGATAAGTGACAAAATATTATGACGCATATATTATAATATATGCTTCATTATCTCCTATTGCTATGTTTAACCATTCCGTTAAAAAATCCTGCTGCCATCAAAATTGCAGATAGCATAATGCTTTAAGAACGAGGACTTACGTTTTAGTTATAGTAGCCTTGGACATTTTCTTTGGTAATGAAATAAAAACTGTTTATATTTTTATACAAAATTCGATCAAATAACGATTGTAAATTAGCTGTTCTTAAATTAGATTTGTAAATTAGAAAATTGATTTAAGAATGTTTTTGATACTGTTTAACACGTACAAGAATTGGTATTTTATTTGTGAAGTCAGTTCTTGCAGACGAACGTCTCCTTAAACTTTTCGTGATAATATGGGCATGTAGTTTTTATTAAAATATGAATAACAAAAAATTATGGAGTACAATGACTTTCACTGCATTGATATCATGTTGAAATAATTGACTGTACGCTAAGCTTTAGAATAAGATAATCGGAAACTGCGTCTCTACAGCAGGCACTGCATGGGTACCTAGATTAATGAATCGAGACCTGAATTTACGACTCACTCGAAGATTGGTATAATAAAACGATTACAATGACAATTTTGTTTTTGATTTTATCATCAATTTGACAGTAAAATTTTCTAAGGTTATAAGATTTCCAATTTAGACTGGTTTGGCAACTCTTGCATTTCGCCGGCCGGCAAAGTCCCTTCGTTCAAGGATTTTGTAAGAACACTATCAGAGGGCTCCCTTACCTTCAGGGCTCCGTAACCAAATTATCGAGTCTATTGTCCCATCATTAAGTACCGCGTGTCTGTAGATAAATGTATGTAGAAAGTATCTAAAATAGAAAACGCTGATAGCGAGATGCAGTGCATCTAGTATAGCTTGATCACGGCCCACAGTAATTCTGACTTCTGATATACCCTGTTCAAAATATCCTGATCCAAAATCTGATTGTACCCAAACTGGTAGGACTCTCTGGGACTACGTCTCCTCATCACATAAAGCAGGAGTTGAGCCGTCCTAGGATTGTTACCCCTGTTGGACGCCGCGCTGCGCTCGTTGTGAGGTGATACATCAGCGTTGTGTTCAGTAGGTGTCTATGAGTAATTTATGGATGATATATAATTGGTAGTAAAACAGTTTAAAAAAGTCATAAAGACATAAACGTCTATAATATGGTTAAAGTTATATGTAAAGGCTCATTGCTACGAGAAATGCGAAGTCCAACGAGTGGAAATTTATGGGTATAAATCGCGTTTGAAACTGAGAATAGAAAACTTCGAGTAGAAGGCAAAGTATCGTTGCTTAATTAATGTCACTGGCATGAAGGAGCTAAATTTATTTGTTATCTGAAATGACACGTCCCAATTCATTAGAAAAATGCAAAGTACCGATGTAAATTTTACATACATGATAAATTTAATGCAACAGCAATAGTTTGAATGTATTCAAATCTCAAATTCTTCATACTCGCGAGTATGAAGAATTAGGTTAGAAATTCAGGTTATTTCCTATTAAATGAACAGAACTTGAGCAGCTGGAGACAGAACATGTTGAGAACTAGTCGCAAAAACTGGAGCTCCAGGACAGGCCGACCATGGTCACGGCCAAGAGCGAGGTCATGCATAAATAATTCTTTATGTTTATCCGTACATTGTCATGGACCTGTTTACTCTCTGCATAATGCTAGGCTCCGACGAACTTGCTAATTTTCACAACTGAGCTTAGTATTACTGGACCGAACAATGAAATGTCTGCTTTTAATTGTAAGTCGCGTGTAAGAACTCAGGTCTGTAGTAGGATTAAATCAATCAATTCCCGTATTAAAGCGGGTAAATCACCAAACTCGATAACCAATAAATCTTTCTAGGTTATTGATCCTAAAAAGATTCTTACTTCTGATCACGAGGTAGAAGTTGTCACACGCAATACACTTTCGTGTTTCAGACTAACTTCAGACAAATCATTACTTCGTTTTTTACTAATTTTGAATAATTCATGGGCTTCACAATATTTTAAAATTTGTCATAATGAGGACATCTCGATGATCATATTGTTCCCTAGCACGAGGATGGACGTACATTATTAATTTGAATCGAACTGGATTTTATAAAACAAGAAGTTTGAGAAACTTCTTTGACAATAAAACCTCTCATATACAATTCTTCAGGTTATTGGTGATATAAATTACCTGATAAGAAAAGATAAGTGCCATTATAATAACAAATTTTTATGGCTTTTTATAAAATTATCCATGAACAATTCTTCCATACACATGATAGATGTTCTCTTTAGCCAAGCTGACTT